AGAATACATTATTCCCCACCCTTGTTTGCTTACATTAACTCTATTCCCTGCCCTTGTTTGCCTACATTAATTTAAAGGAGTTGCCCCTAACTCGTATACCTTGTCAGTCCCTGCAGACCCTTGTGCTGGGTCCTCCCTCCTTATCAGGCCTCAGACTTAGTCTCTTCTGGAGGAGTTTTCCCTATTATCTGAGCTAGCTCATCTGTGGTTAGTTGCGTCCTCTTGCAATTTCGCTAAGTGCTGTTAGTATTGAAGCTTGGCTATAGAGAACTCTGCGCATAGAACTCTGCGCATACTCTAAAGCTATGAAGTTAACATTGCCAATTTAGATATTGCCAGTTTAGTTTTTGATCCCTTCAGTATTATATTTAGTGGAACTCTGCGCATACTCTAAAGCTATGAAGTTAACATTGCCAATTTAGATATTGCCAGTTTAGTTTTTGATCCCTTCAGTATTATATTTAGTGTTTTAAATTTCTTTTTGGGCTGCCTTATGCATTTTTACTAAATGAAAATGCAGCTATGTTTTTAAATAAATAAATGTCAAATGGGAAACACATTTTTGCATCAGTCTTATCAATTAAATTGCTAGCTTAACAGAACGCTTGTTTACCATCTCAAAAGCACCATTGTATGCATGGTCCACAAGAGAACAGCTGTCTAATAATCCGTTTCAATTTATATATAAACAAATAAATGGATAATTAAAAGTCAAGAAACCATAGAATCATTGTTAGCATGATCTCTTGTTTCATTTTTGATCCACTGATCCATAAATGCATTTCTCAACAATGACAAAAACCTCCAGAGTTAAAAAATAGATATGACATGTTGCCATTTTCAAATACTTTTTATCTAAAATGGTTCAAGATTCTGATCCTTTTGGTATTTTTTTAATCAGATGACTCAAAACATTTGTAATCTGTATGCAGATATCTCTAGTACGTCTTGTAACAAAGATTCAAGAAATATACATTTCCCTCTGCCGTACAGATGATTGTAACTTTGCACAAATTTCAATCCACTAAGCCAAACATCAGCCTTTAAAGTCAGGTGCTGGCAATCCTCCAACAATTTATATGAAGTCTTAAATAAATTTTCAACATTATTGAGAACATAATTTGAATAGCCAAAAGGTAGCATCCTGAAAAATTCAAATACTACAACTAAGTTGTAAAAGAAGAACAAATGAATGTTTGAACTAAAATAATTGAAGTAGAAGATCAATGGAATGAAAGTTGAGCAAAGACAGCATGACGCAAGACCTCTGTGGAACCAACTCAAAATATGTATGTATGTAGGTATGTAATCTATCAATTTATATGGCCACTCAAACTCACAAATTGGGTAGCTAACATAGGATTGCAACCAATACAAAAAGAATATAGCAGACAAAAATGGCAAGGAATGTCTCCTTCTGAGGATGGCTGCCTGAGCAGGAATTAAAAATTAAAAATCTAACAAGAATTAGCCGGTCACTGTACAATAACAAATAGTAAGGGCTGAAAATCTATGGGAGGAAAATGAAAACTCTTCTAAATTCAAAGGCCAATATAACACATAGCACAAAGCAAGGACAGTTATAACGACTAGTACTAATAGAATATGATTGGTATGGTGGGTTACCATGTGTGAAGTTTTTCTACAGGAACATTGCTTAACGGAAAAAATCTAAAGACCTTAACTTTTGAGAAGTTATTATGCACTGGTTCATATAACAAAAACTATAATTATTCATTTTTTCATGGGGTATTTCTTCAAGAAATTCACTTAAAAGAGTTTTACCCTACTGTATATCTAGACTTAAGTTAAAATGTCTATCTATTGGCACATTTGTATGAAACCTTGTATGATGTCAGCTTTGGTTAGTAAATTTGTTTTTTTCTCTCAACATATCCTACTCTATTTACTACGACCCATATTTATTTTCAGTAATACTAAATTGGATGTTCTGCTGTGAGAATAAAGGAATAGTGCAACATATTTCCCCAAGCAATAGCATGCTTGATCTGTCTTTTATTTCTATTGAGGTAGCTGGCATTCTGACAATATTCAGAGTATTAAAAAATAAATTTCTTGACCACAAACAGCACTCAACTGAAGTTGTTCAAAGAAAGCAATGATTTCTGGCAGGAGGCCAGACTAACGTACTTAAGCATGTTGAGTCTTGATTCTCTGTGGCTTTGGTCAGAAGCTAGCTTCCTTCCCAGTTTGAAAGTGTCTTCAGATAAGTTAGCGGGTGGAGGCAAATATCCATCTCTGATATCAAAATGGTCAGGAGGTCATCCATAAACAAATAATAAGCCTGTGCATTGTGCACAGAGATTCAGTGTATAACTCATCTCAGTTTTGCAAAATCTACGTCACCTTTGCAAGAACCACCCAACATAATATTAGGTATTCAGTTGGGTCATGTGTATATGTGGTACATATATGTACATATCGGTGGGCAGCATTTATTCCATTTTTAGTGTTTCCAAGGAAGCAAACCCAAGCTGGACCTATGTGGCCAAACAAATAGCAAAATCATTTTTCCAGATGAGAATCTTTCAGATGAGAATCAGTGAAGTCTTTTGGTAGAAGGAACTCGCCCAGTGCTGTCCTTTTCACTTTTTCTCATGTTATGCAATATAATCTAGAAGGCAAAATACTGTCCCTAGGGATTCCCTTGCAACAAGAGCAAAGCCTGTCCTCCGTCCTTGATTGAGGTTGGCCTGGCTCTTACAGACAAGCAAAGCAGGAAGCTACAATCCTTCAGGTGTGAATCTTTTCCTTCAAATGCACTTATTAGTCATAATGATGAATGCATGGATGGAAACAGTAGTAAAAATGATCCACCGTTACTGGTTTCCCTTAGTGATTGTCCAGCCAGTGCAAGAGAACAGGGGAAGGCTTTATTGGATTATTTTAGCCCAGCAGATTGTGATTTTCTTTTCTCTTACCCATACCTTCAAGTGGCTATAGCTAAAGGGCACAATGATTGGGTTTTCAGATGAGTTGCAGATGCAAAGCTGTTCCTGGAAACTCCTTTTTTGGCCTGCTGCCACCAGTATTGCCACCAGTATTGATGGTAAGAGATTCATTGAGTAGTCCATGAAAGTGACATTTACCAGCAGAGCTTCTTTCAACCTGTGCAAGAGCCACAGAACTGTGGCTTCAAATTGATCTGTTTGGCTCAGTGACTATATTTATTTAAGAATAAAGACAATGGTTTGCCTGACCAGTCAACCTCAATTACTATTGTTTGGCTGACCACCAGCATATCATGGCTGAATCTCCAATCTTATCTGTCTTCATAAACAACCTAAGGATGGTGTACATTGCCATTTGATAACTATTATTCAAAGTTGTCTCATTCTTGTCTTTTCCCTTATCTTCAGGCTTCTGAAAAAGGAAGAAAATTTTATCTTCATTCCTCGGTCCCGTGAAGAGCTTCCAGAAAACTTTCCAAAGGAAATTCCTGGGATTTGTTATTTCCTGGAGGTCAGAACTGGGCAGAAGCAGCCAAAGTCCTCTGTCACATCTGCCAGAGTGAGAAAGATATCCTACAACATTGGCACCATGTTCCTTCGGGAAACGAGCCTATGAGGCCTGTTGCAGATCAAAGACTCATCAAAAAAGCACAAGCCCAGAACTGGGTCATGACAGGAGAGAGGAGATTCTTTCTTTTTCACTGCATAGTTCCAAGAAAGCAGTAAAAGCTCTATGAAATGTCAGGCAATAATTCTTTTTAAAGGTGGGTGACTGCTGTCGGTAAACAAACTGGAAAGTGGCAAACAAGGGAGCAGGGATTTTTTTTCTTTTTTTAACAAAAATCAAATTAAACAAAATATTTCTCTGTTGCCAGAGATTCTACTGGTGATAAATGTCAGAATGGTGGGGTTTGTTTTAAAAAAAGGAATCTAAATTATGCAGTTGTTGATGGGGAGACATTCCTCTAAGTCGGAGGTAGCTTGTAGCTCCCTAGTTATCATTGGATGCTAACTCCTATCAATTAGCATGGCCAGGGATGATGAGAGTTGTACCATAATAACATTAAGAGGGACCCAGGTTGCTAACCATAACATCCATTAAAATAGAATACTTTGTGGATTGTACTGCTTTCTTCTGAAATGGGCCATTGTTTTATGCTCAAGTAGGATCCTTGCCACTGTTCTGAACATCCTCTTTTTATGTCAATAGAATCAGGGTACTCCTGATTCTTTTGGTCATGTGCGCCTAAACTATTTATATAAGAGTCATAAACAGTGGTAGTCAGTGGATTACACTCCAAAATTCAACCAGAGACTGCTCAGATTATGATACATTCCTACATTTGAGGGAATTATTGCTGAGGGTAAGAATGCTTCTGGTTTATTGCTGTTCTTTAAACACTTCGTACAGGTACTGTAAAGATTATTTATAACCTTTTTAGCAGGAGAAATTTTAATTTGGGATATAATATATTAAGGATTTTACCCTTTTTTAAAACTACATTTCACTTTTAGGGCAATATTCTATAAAAATTTGAAGCTGGCCAGCTTGTTTATATTTGATATGTATCCAATTTCTGAAGTTTGTTGCAGTCTTCAAAGAATGATATTTTAGTGATTTTCATTTTCTGCCATATGTCTTATCCATCTAGACCCATGTTCACATTACTTATGCTAATAATATATATCCAATATCAGGATATTATAAGAAAAACCATGCTGATCATGTTCAGTAACTGGAAGTAGAGTGTCCCAAAACTGAATCCTCAGTTACCCTTGGTAAAGTTTTAACCATTTAATGAACCAGATCAGGATGGTTCTCAAATATGCTTGTGATTTGAACTTAACTCTGATTAACACTATTTCTTCCATTAGTAGGAAATGAAACACACCTAAAAGTCTGCGGTTCAACCTTATTAGTACTTTATCCCCTGAACTTCTCCCACGCTGTCATGGTATGTTATAAGCTTTGTAGTGTGCCTCACTTAATCTACTGTTCCCTGTCCCAGTTGTTAGCATGGATTAGAACCTCCAGCTATGAATATCGATGGATTTAGAGAGAGCTTGGGGCCGGGGGGAAAGTAATACATCTACAATTACTTTCATGCCCAATCATAATGAAATATAATATTTTAGAAATATCCTATAAAAATAAAATTCCATCTATGAAACTTCAAATTCTTGATATCAGTTGTAAAAAACGTGAATGATCTTTAGTGTCTTAGAAAGCTTGATCCCATGTCTCTCTTTTATTATACTTTCACCACCCTGATTATAAGTATTGCTTTGTGGCTGTTAGAGAATAATCAAGATTAAATAATTTTGAGTATTTGCATGTAGGCTGCTAATGTAAAATGACACCCTACATTAGAGAATTCTGATATCTTGATAGGACTACTTCAGAGTAAATCATTCAGGAGTGTCCACAGTGATGATCACTAGCTCAAAATGGTAGGCACAACTTAAGCAATTGAAGCCCTGCCCCTTTGTTATTCCATACAATGCATACAGTACACATTAAAAAGGGGTGGGTCTGCCCAGCTGCACCCACCATTTTGAGGTCAGTAACTGTTGCTGCAGACACCGTATTTGAAATCATTTGAGTACTATAGTTTGATAAATAATAAAACTTCATTTGGATATTTAGATCACTTCATATCCATTTTTCATGCAGAATATTGCAGAGATGTTTTCATTTTAAAATTTCTAATATTTGTACCCTATATCATGTAGATAAGTATGCTGTAGAATTTTATATTCTTCTATATCTGTATCAACCACATGTCATATTGTGCACTCAAGCCAAATCACTATGCTTGAAAGTGTATCAAGCAATATATGGCTAATAGTTAAATTATATGGCCATTCAGATCTCAAGTATGGTAAAGAATCAAAGCTTTATGGAGTGACAAGGCTAATAAATTTGTTGAGGCATCAGTTTTTATGGACTACAGCCTATTTTATCACATGCATGCAGTATTTCCTCTGATGAACGTGAGTACACAGGGTATACTTAATAAATATAGACAGAAATGAATGAGAAGAGAGAACTTGTAAGGGATAGTATAAATTTTAAAATAATTTTGTGTTGAGTTCGAGATATTCAGGATAAGAACAGTAATTTTTGTTTGGGCTCTGCATAGATTTGCATTTCATGTTCTTTTGAGACAGTATTTATGCTTTTTTTCCTCTGTCAATGCACACACGTCTCTCCCAGAAGATTATAACACTTCATCCAACAAAGTGGTCTCTAATCCACAAAAGTCAGTGCCACAATAAATCATGTTAGCTCTTAAAGATGCTGCAGGATTCTTAGCCACCTTGTGTGGCATAATTCAACACAATTTCTGTAGAACCTTGATGATTTATACTTGTATGATTCTTGATGTCTGAAGGTGAAGCATGGGAGCATATTATATTTCTCTGTATTTTGTCCCTAGAGCTTTCTCAACAGTTAAGATATGGCTGGCAAATCACTTCTGCAGTGGTACCTACAATTGAATGGTAATTTGAAACTCAGCCTGTCTATGAGTTACAGATGAGCACTCAAGTTCATATTTGTACAGCAGTTTTGATGTTAAAAGCCAAACAAGGATTTAAGAAGACAGATGCTGGGTGCCTTTCACTGTAAAGGTTGATTCCCTCTTGATTCAGAAAGAGATCACATGGGTTTCCAAGTAGGAAAAGAGGATAGTTCTCAAAAAATCACAACTTTTTTCAAAATACCCCAAAGCACAGTAGTCCAAATGATATTGTGCTTTGATTAGTCCAAAAGGTACTGTACTAGTCCATTTTTTTCAGCAATTTGAATCATTCTAGCATAATGATCAAGATTGCAAGAAATCAATGAAACTCTTAAAACATATTTTGCTGTTAGTGCTAAGTAGAAACGTTTGGGAAAAGTTAAGTGAACAATCAAGATGAATAAATTTGGCAAAGCTATAGAGACCATCTGGGTTAAAATAAATGGTAGAACAAATAAAAGCAATACTGTTGTTGGTGTGTACAATCACCCACCTAACCAAAGAAAAGATGTAGATGATGCCTTATAAAAGCAAACTGCAGATCTTTCAAAAAGTCATAAAATCATAATGGGAGACTTTAATAACCTTGAATCTGCTGGGAAACAAACTATACCAAGCAGTTTTCTCAAGAGAATTCTGACTTGTCTTGTTGACAAGAGGGTGAAGAAAGGTTACAAGAGGATCATCTGTCCTTGGACTTGATATTAATCAATAGAGAAGATGCAGTTGGGGAAGTAGAAGTTGCAGGAACATACTGTATGTAAGTGACAATGTAATACTGGCATTCTTGATTTTAAGGAAAAGCAACACTGCGCATGGTCAAACAAATTTTGGACTTCCAAAAAAAAAAACATGTTAACTTAGAGCAGTGATAAGTAGGAATCTGTTATAAGAAAAGTTAATGGAAAGAGAAGCTCATGGCAGGTGAGGATTCCTGAAGACAACTGTGAACCATTTCAGTGAGAAGAAAAAATAGAGGACAGTTGAATAAGCCATATGGTTACACCAAATGCTTAGTGAAAACAAAAACAGGTGATGTATAGGGCATGGAAAGACAGCTTTCACAAAGAAAGAGTACAAAGAGAACTAGCCCAGAATGGGGGTGGGGGGAAAAAAAGCTAAGAATGAGCTATGGTAATAAAATGAAAAAGAAAAGGGCAAAATGCCAACAGGTAATGAAGAAAAGACCAAGGTACTCAACTTTGGTTCAGTCTTCTCCAACAAAAATTAATATACAGTCCATCAGGAAATTGTGAAGAACAATTTGAAGGGTCAGGATTGAAGCTTGAGATTGATAGAAGCAAATATCTCTCTCTTTTTTTTTTTTATCTGCGGTCAGTCGTTACCGACTCTGCAGTGACTGCTTGGACGAGTCCTTGTAGTTTTCAAGGCATTTGTTTT